CCCCCCCCCCCCACCCCCACACACACACACATGGATTTTCTGGTAGAAGGAGTGATCTAGTCATGAAACAGTGGGCTGCCCCCAACTAGTTCAAAAAAACCTTTACAAATTCCTTGCATGTCTCTCCCTTGTTCTACACTCTGGTTATCTCCTCTTCCTTTTCCCTGCTTTTCTTGGTCTCTCCCTCCCAGTTCCCTTCTATGTTAAGTTGTTTCTCTTCCCCTTTTTGTGTTTTCTCTCACTCCATCATTGTTCTATTTTCTGTCAAATGATTAAAGTATATAATACCCATACAAAAAATATATCTACATTAGCTGCACATTCCAGCTCACCAAAGAAAGGTATGCAAATCAAATAACATATTTTACAAGCAAGCATCTCAAATAGCCATCATGACACAAGGAATAGAATAATACAGAAAACTTTGCTTTTAAAATTATAAGATCTATCAGGGGAATAATTGTAAAATGTTCATAAAACACCATAAGTACATACACACTTCCCATCATACATGAACACACTCCATAATAATTTATATTAGGTACTTACATAGCCTCCATTACCTCATCATATTTAATGTATTTTTCCTCCCAATGCCCTGTGAGGTACGGAAGTATTTTTATCACCATTCTACAGATGGGGAACTGAGTCAGAGGGTATGTCTACACTGTAGTGTATGCCCAGGCTTAGACTCAAGCCCAAGTCCCCCTTCTGTATGTGTGTGTGTGTGTATGTGTGTATATATATACACACACACACATATGTATATATATACACACACACACATATGTATATATATACACACACACACATATGTATATATATACACACACACACATATGTATATATATACACACACACACATATGTATATATATACACACACACACATATATATATATATACACACACACACATATATATATATACACACACACACACATATATATATATACACACACACACATATATATATATATACACACACACACATATATATATATATACACACACACACACACACACACCCCTATCGGACTCAGGCCAGCAAGTCCTCTGGACCCAACAAGAGGGGTTTAAGCCATAGTCCCAGTGGGATTTGGCTCCATAGTGCATCATTTTACAGCATGGACAGAGCTTGGTCCCGGGTCCCTCAGATTCATGTCCAGAGAGTATCTCACAATCCCATGGGCCACTGTTCATATCCTTTCTATCCCAAGACTAGCCAATCAACTTGCAGAAAACTGAAGAAAGTGTCTGGTTCAAATACAGCTGCTCAGCTTTTAATTCTTCCATTTAATTATGGATTGCTGAGCTCCAGAGTGAACCTGCATTAGCTTCGGCTACCTACAGGAAGAAGTCCTTTGCCAAGCACACGGCTATGTGGTCACAGGACCACAGTCAGATTCTGGTAAATCTGTGGTGCAAGGTGAGCAACATGTTCAACTTCAGTAAGAGTATCAGAAATGACCACATGTACCAAGAAATAGCAGATAAGTTGACAGTCTGGGGGATTCAATGGACTGGTGCCAGTGAAGAGAGCAGATCAAGCAGCTCA